GGGGCAGGCACTGTAGTGCCCGGTGGGCACGGAGAACAGTCGGGAACGGGGAGCGGCCCCCTGGGATGCGCTTGGATGCCGACAGTGCGTTCTGCGGGGCGGCAAACCTCGGCTGTCCCGGTCCCCGCTGCCCCTGCTGCAGTCTGAGGCGTGCAAGTGCCTCTGTGTGTGCAAGTAACATCTCACGGGTTCTCTAAAACATTAAAGCAACCTCCTCCCCAGCCTTTCCTTCAACTCCGTCCCTAGCCCTTCCCTCTCTCCTGCACCAGAAAAAGTACATTGCTTCACTCTTTCCCAAAAGGGCATGTAGCCCAAACCCCAAATATCTGTATTCGTGTTGTCCCCAAAGTGAAGGCTGTTGAGCAGAGCTGACTGCAGGTCTGCACCGTCTACAGCTGTGGCCTGCCAAGGCAGGTGGCCAGACCACCTCAGCATCGAGCTCCTCCATTCCTTCATTACTTTATTGTGATCAACTCAACCGTGCTATAAGCATGCTTGTCCTGTGATGATAATTTCATCAAGGGCTTATGTAAGGGTTGGATAACAGATATATACAAACAGAGGAACATATGGTTGTCGCAAGATAGCAGCACGTGCTTTCTTCATAAAGCATTACAATGGCTTGTATGGCATTCCAGTTATAGCTGGTGGATGATTCACAAGCCATCCCAAACTGTCACAAAATATTGTGATGTCTCCTACAATTTTATCAAAACCTTGCTAATTTGATGATTGAAAAAAAAAGATTGATCAGAAAGGATAACCCGATCCCATTGTTAGAGGAAGATTTGGACTCAGGTATGTGTTTCTCTCAAAAGTGATATTTTGAACAGTCAAAGATCTTAGAATCACACTCTGACTTGGATTTACTTCTAAACCTTTGGCCTTTACTAACACTGAGTACCATAACCCCCAAATTTAGGCACCAAGTCTCTGGGGTGTGATACTTTTTTGGTAAGGGACACTGCATGGGCAGCATCCTGAGCAGGAGCAATGAGAATGAGAAATGGAAGGGAAATGATGGAAGAAAGAGATGTTTTCCACATCACACCTTCTTAGAGAGGTAGGTGAGTGCTATTTTGAGGTGGACATTCTCATTTCAGCCTGTTCTCTTAAAGTTTACACTGCTTTTTTCTTTCTTACCAGAGGGTACTTCTGTGCCTGTCCCTGTGGCTGGTCAAGGAAGGATCATTTGGATGGAAAGTGGGTAGGCCAGAGTGCTAAACTCTCCTCCCCAGAGAAAAGCCTAACTGACATGTCTCATCTATTGGAAGGATGCTCTGTACCCCTGTGGTTGCAAAGTGGTTCCTTCAAACTTCTGTTTTGGAGAGGTAGGCTGAGGAGTTTCAGGCCTGCCGCCTTCATCTGATGGCAATGCCTTTTTCTGACCTAAGGCATTGTGGCAACCTGTGAGATGTCAGGGCACTAATGCACTTGGCTCCTGTGGAGGAGTTCCAGGCTTCTTTTACCACTTCTGAAAGAGTTCAGGACTTTTTGGAGGAGGACTCCTGGTCACAGAAAAATGTCACAGCTCTGTAACCTGGCACTTGGTATGTTACTGAATGCTGACCCCTGGTCCAGGGACTACTACCAAATAGTAAATAGGTCATGGAACTCAGGCCTTCCACCTTGGAACCAAGTAAGATACACACTGGGATATTTTTTTCCTCTTGCATTTCTGTGGGGCAGCAGCAACAGTGTGTACTTTCCTCTGGAGCTCAAAAACTCTGTATGGCAGCTGAGTGCTGGTGTGTATTCCCCAAATTCAGCTTCTCACAGTACACAGGTCTGGGAAAGAGAGCCACCACCAAAATGCCAGATGGGGTTCCAGAAGTTGATTTAACTTAGGACATTTTTTATGAGTGCAGAAGTGTGCACTCCTTTCACAAGATTACTCTTGTGATGCAGTAAATTTCTGTCTGTTGGAAGCATTATTTTAAATGAAGCCACAACCTATATTTTACAGCTCCTCTACAGCTGACCCAGAGGGAAATGTTAGCCCTTCCCTTGTCCATGTGTGCATCTGAATGATTTTGGCGTCTGAATTCTACAAAATCATTTTTTACAGTCTCTGCTATCAGGAACACTTATGTGAATGGTTGAGCCTATCAACCATCTTACATCAAAATTAGGGTGGTCAGGATGGATTGTAGGTGTTTCCAGGCCTGGCTCATCCAGCTGAGCTCACTTTGTCACTTTGCAAAGTGCTTGTCTGTGCCCACTAAATCCTAAATCCTCCCATGGACCCAAAGAGATGCTCTGGTCTAATATGCACAAGCTGCCTCTGGGGTATACTTTCTTTTCCAAAAATCGCACTGAAGGTTGGTTAAAACATCTCATCCATTGCAAGTGAAAATAAACCCATTTGAGAAAGCCACATGCAAGAGGAAAATTACTTTTCCAGTCTGAAGCTATTTTTGATAACAAGTTGGGTACCACAGTACAAAGATAATTGGCACGTTAGAAATACCCGGTTCTCTAGACCTATTTATACATTTAGTAGCAAATTTAAATTAATGTGCACAACATAATACAATTTTTTTTTCCAGTTACTTATGTCCTCTTGATCTGTGCTCAGCAAAACTTTATGTGAAAGCATGAGCTATAGAAGTCCTGTGTGCTGGAGGATATGTGAAAATGTTAAACAAATTGATTTTGCTGGTTGAAACTTTTTTGTTTGATGGAGAAGCAGTGGTTGACTGGAGGAAATAGCAAAGTTGAAAGGAAAACCAAAAAGGCACATTCTGGAAGCTTGCTTCTGTGACTGTTTTTTCAATCATTTTCTTCTCCAAGTTCTCTTCCAACCAACCAGCTCTACCCAAGTGCAAGTAAATGTTTTTATTTCAGAGGTCACAGGCTTATGTAAGCGCTTAGATGACAAGTGGTAATGGGAGTGATGGAGCATGGTGGCTTTTTCACCCAGTGCACCAAGACCTGCAGGAGAGACTCATTGGTTGTGGGTGTTCAGTGGCAGCATAGAATTGGGAGGTCCTGTTAACACAGATGATTTAGAGGCTTTCTTTGTAGAGATTGAGGAGAGTGGAGGGAGTTTGGACAAAAACAGAAGCTCAGCAGTTTACCTTTCTGAAGAATGGGATCGGAGAAACAGTGCCTCTATGTACTTGCCCTCAGACGAAAGTTAACACATGTAGAATCCTCATGTTGTCTTTAGTTTTGTTTAAATGGTGTGGGTGCAGTCCTGCTGCAAGGCAAGTGTGGCCAGCAGTATGTGAAAAGCCAGCCAGAAAGGCCACAGACCTTGAGCTAAAGTTGAGGTCCTGAGTAGTTTGTCAGGCCAAGCTTAAAAATATCTTTGCAGATGAGCTGAAAACTTCACCCAGGATTTGAGTTAGAGGCAAGATTTGTGTTTTACTGAGAGTTAACCCTGCGAGAATAACCAGTCCTGAGTCACCAGTGTGAGTCACCAGGCTGGTTCTTGAGTGGCCTCTGCACAGTGCTTGCCTGCTTTGGGGACAAAAACAAGTTTCTTATTGTCACTGGTACTTGTTAGAGCTGCAGGACCTGGGCAGCTAGGGGGAAGAAAGAGTAAATGCAATTGTTACTTGTAATTTTGACAGTCTTGTTTTCTGACTGTCAGGCTCAGTCAGGTAATGCTGTTATGTGAAGTTCAGCAAAGATGTCTGGTGATAGTGCTCCTGTAGGTGAGAACACAGATAATTATTACCAGTGGTCCTAGATATCACTGTCAGATCCCCATAGCCAGGCAGAGTGCCTGTAGCATGTGAGTACTCTAATCTTGCTGTGCAAGACTTTGGAGAAACGATCCAAATCCAATCTTTATAAACACTTTCTTTTTCCTTTACTTTGCAGAAGAGAATTGCACTTCAAAAGGGGACAGCAGTTGTAGCATTGGAGAAGGTTTGGAATGTGAATTTAATAATCCTTCTGTTTAGAAGGAGTGTCTGGCAGAAAAAAAGTTGGGGCAGTTGGAAGAAATTTCACTGAGAGCCATAGTTAAGAATGGAAATTGGAAAAAGACAGTAGAAATTCTTTACAAAGGACTAATACTGCATCTGGATAGCAAGACCTGTTTTAGTGCCAGGCCCAAACCTTCAGTCTGTTGTAAATTTAGCTTGATTCTCGGAAATGCTAAGTGCTTGTGCTTTTCACTGGTGATTTTTGAGGAGCCTGAATGTTTTGCTTGTTAAGGGTCACCTTTGCTAATTAAAATGTAGAATTTTGAGACTAAGAAGAGTGTCACCTTTTTGGAAAAGCAATGTTCCTTGGGTAGGACTGGTCCATGCTTGCCTCTCTGTGCAGAACTTAATTTTGCTTGCATCATTCCAAGTGGTGCTGTCATCACCAAATTGACATGAAACCAGATTCAAATGCAGTAGTGGGAAAGTGAGAGAAATCTGTGAGCACCAACCATCATGGTTGGAATGTTGCGTATGGCTGTGGGGCAGGACCCATAGACAGAGGCAGGTGCCCTCAGCAAAGATGAAACAGTGTTTCCTCAAATCAGCTGAGATGTGGATGGTCAGGGCACCCAACCTGCCAATTCTTTTGCTTGTCAGAGGTGTGGCATGCACGGTGTTTGTGTTTGTGTTGAGTTCCTGAGATCATCAGTGAGCTGGTAGTGCACACACATGCACTACCAGTCTATTGGTGGTAGAACCAATTTGATAGTTGTTTGTCTCTTAAGGAATTTAGGACATTCTAGTTAAGTCAAAACTGGCCTCTGTATCATTATTCCAATTTACTGCACCTTCACTAAGGATAATTAATATTTTTCATTGCTAGATCCATGCTAGATCTGATTCAGGCCAAGCATTTCTTGGGAAGCTGGTCAAAATGGTTATGTGGGCACCAAGGCCCAGACCATGAAAAACATGCATGCACACGGCAGGGGGACTGAGGGCTTGCACATCCAGCATGGATTCCTCCTCACTTCTTTCCTGCAACCCTGAATTTTTAAAGTTCCTCATTCAACTTAAGCTGGCTTTGAGGATTTTTTTGCTGTTGCTACTGTTGTTTTTTCACTTTATATACCATTGGATCCCTTAGACACACCCCACCAGAAGCTCCATTTTACTGGGTGTTGCTGAAATACTCTCCCAAGTCTCAGTGAGCTTGCAGGATAACTAGACAAAACAAGGAAGGTGGCCATGTAGAAACTGCAACTGGAATGTGGCTGTTGCTGGCTCCTACTGGCTTCTACTAGAGTGATTAAATGGGAACAGGGCCCCATAGCCACTCCCTCCCTTGAAAAACAAAAACTGTGGGCATTTGTACAGAAAACAACCCCTGTTTCTGTTTGTCCTTGTCTTCCTGCAGTTTTCCTCTTTGAAATCAGAGTTTGGGTTTTGGGTTTTTTTCAGTGTCATAAGTTAACATAGGCATGAGGTTCAAAATGGAGTCATCTTTATTGAAACAAGCAAGGGGCAAATGTCCTGTTTGCTTGGAAATCACCTTAGGCAGTGGTGTAAATAAAAATCAACTTCCAACTGCAGTGGAACAGAATGACTTGTTGCTAGGAAGAGCTGTTTTGAGGTTTTCATTAAGTGACAGCAATGATTTTTCCTGTTCTTTACCATTCTGAGGCAATTTGGAATCAAGTACAGAATCACTGGACATTAAGATTTCAGAGGGAAGCCTGGAAGAACATCCGTCTTTGTCACAGTGTCTGTTAATTTTTAATCACCTCGGGATAATTTTAAAACAGGCTGCAGGTCTCTGAAACATTCATGTTGGCAATTCTTTCAGTTTGCTGGTTGCTGAGGCTAAGAAAACCCTCCAATTCACAGGACAGTTAGACCAAGGAGCTGGATGAGAAGGAAAACACTGTTGACACCTTCTCAGACACAGCCTTCAGTGAATAAAACCACTAAATAAATAGAATCTAAAGTTCCCAGAGGGACATGCTGGTGGAGTGTTTCAGAGACTCTCCTACAAGTTCAGCTTGACTGGAAATGTTTAATATCCAAGAAAAAGAAAAAGAAAAAAAAATGTTCAAAGGATTTTTTTTTTCCCCTCCTCTTGAAAATATTCAAGGAGTGTGACTCCAAGGGGAACGAAGGAAGCAAATGGAAAACTTCTGGTGGCAGAGGCTGGGTTTTTGTGCTCAGCTTTGTGGTGGTTTCTGGTCTGCAGGCAACACGATATCCCACAAGCACCACACTTGGTTCATTCCAAAATTTCAGGGAAGGTTTCAGAGCCATTTTAACTTTGGAAGATTCTCAGTGGGCAGTGCACACTGCAGGCTGGTGTGGAAAGCTTGCAGTCAGAGGGGAGAAATAAAACCTGCGCCTGCATCTTTGTGGTCTGTCACCCTGGGCCACCTGCATGGGAGTCCCAAAGGTCTGCAGCC